AAATAAACCGTAAATGTAGACGATTGCTTAATAAGTAATTATAATACTATGTACAAAACGAAATAAGACAGAAATAAAAAAAAGTATTACGTGCTTTGTTGTCATTTGGATTAAATCTGTATTTTGTTATTTTTCGCTTTTTAGTGTAGTGACTTTTTGTGGTTTTTGAAGTTAGTTGAACTTTTTAAAAGTATGTTTTTCCTTTATAAATACCATAATCCTATGTACTGCTAACAACGAGTATATAATATACATAGCATGAAAGAAGACTACAATATTTCCGTATCTACTAGTTTACCTATAGAGATAGGATATAAGCAACATTCCTTTACGACTCTACGTGCCTAATCATAATGTCGTGAGCCGTCCACGCACTGAATGCATTTACATGTCAGGTAAAAACGCCTACAATAGTACATTTTATAGCTTCACAGTATAAATATTAATACTCTATTACTTAAGTCGTTATGGTTTGAGTAATTTAATTTTACTTCATGTTTTTATTATTTAATAATATATTACAAAGTATAGTATAATGTGTTACTCTTATTTAGTAATCATTTTTGGGTAATTGACAAGTTAGTTTGCTTTACCTAATTTACTTAATTTAGACAGCTAACCTGAAAATCACCCTTTTATTTGTAGTCAACATTGTATGAGATTGTATTTTCTGCCGCATGAAAGACATCAACGGAATCATTGGCTTATTTTTTTTTTTTAATGAAATATATGTCTTTCGTTATTTCCTAAGTCTACTCACGTTTAGTACATTCTAAGTCTATGGTTTCACTATTATCAGAAGTAGCTATTTTTTTAAATTTGTTTAATACATTTTACAATGGTTTATTACATACATGCAGCTGTAGCTCAAAAAACCTATAATAAAGTTATCATTTAATTATTACTTTGTAGCACATTTACTTTAAAAAGGAAGTGAAGATTAGCTTATGCTTGGCTTGACAGTGGGTGAGGTACTAATTCAAAACATAGGGTAGACCGTATTTCCACATGTCTTAGGTAAAAGGTGGGTTGAATTTCCGTGTGTACTTGTATGTATGTATTATATTACAGAACTGCAATCCTGTAAATTTCACCAAAAGACAATATTTAGCTAATAGTATGTTTACACCGACGCGCCACTTGCAAGCGAAAGTCGTCAGACAATGACATACCTGTAATTAGCTAGTCGTGTGATTTGTGGCGAAAGTGGCCAAATTTGACAAGTGTCACCACTGTTTCTTGCCAATTTTGGACGGCCGGACTGTGAAGGAATCCGTCGTCTACTAAATTAGGGTGATGCCTCGTTTTCATTATGACAACTATGTTCATAGTACATTAAATAGAAAACAAAAAACATTAATAGTAATTGAAAGTTGTTTCTTCAGTTGCGTTCCACATTTTATGTTTGTAGGCAGTATTTTATTGCGTCGTAAAGAAAGTTACTTGCTTGAAATGATTTCAGCTCACTAAAACACAGATGTGCAATTGCTGTGTTTAATTAACTGTACAGTGAATAATCTACAAATTATCGTTCTGTGAAGAGCTCTAATTGATATATATATCCATCAAAATTCGTTTATAGTGTGTGGATAACTTTTCCGAACGTTATTAGTAAATAAATATTTTGAATATCAACAGATGACAAACCACTGTAGTAGCGTTAGCTGTGTCGCATTAATTACCTCAAACATTGACTAGATTAGATTTCGTCGACCTTTTCTACTAGTGGCTATCCTACTATTGGAGTCGGTAAAAACGACGTGCGATGAACTCGAGTTGAAGGAACGTCGCGCTTCGATGGACGGTTCGCTCCGACTTCCATCTATCGATCAACCACTTTATACCTCGTCCACCAACCTTATCACTTTATGTATTAAGTCTCGTTTAGTCTGTGTCAGTTAGTGACTCGCAGGTGTATGTTTGCGTAAATCGTCCGTGGGAATGCGATTGGTTTCTAGTTGCGTTTAAAGAAAAAGTCTGAGTGTGTCGAAATTGCTATCACCGCGTAACACTATGGTTTTACATGGACGTATTGTAACATAATAACATACATACGTTCATTTCCATTCATTGTAGATATTTAAATGACATGTATAGGTTTATGTGTGAAGGTACATACATACTTTCTTGCGCTGAGAAATAGAATGGTTACAACTTAAAATATTTTCTTAATTAGCCAGACGACGTTGGCATCTGCTAAAATTCAATAAAAACAAAGAATGAGATATATTTTCGTGGAGTGCCTTGACTCTATTATGTTTATAACATAGACGCCACAAGATCGCTAGAGCCTTTCCCTCACTGGGAAGTTATAACCGGTCTTAGCGACCGCGCTCTAAACATGCCATTCCGCCGCTCTTACAACCTTAAGATAATCTGTGAGAGGCAAAGGTAGAAGTATTACACTCACATGTCTAGTAAGCAAAACAAAGAGGTGCAATGTTACAAAATCTTGATAATAATGTTCCTACATGTCAAATAAATATTTGAATAAAGAAATAAAGAAGGACAAATTAAAAAGTGGTTCTGTCCAAAACAATACAGCTTCATTGAAAAAAAAATATGTTAGAAGTACTTATAACTTTTTAGAATAGGTATGCATGCTTATTGAGAAGAGAAGAGAAGAGAAGGAGTAATCATGTAACAAACATAAAAAATACAGTCGAATTGGAAACCTCGTCTTTATTAAAGTCGTTTAAAAAAGGATAAATTTATTACACGATGAATGGGCGCTTCCATTTCAAGACATTTTTGATGATACAGCAAAATGAATTTGATGTTTTGTTGCGCTGTAACAATATGTAGAGGTAGATGGATATGGAGTGAAATGCTTTCTATTGTCTGCTGAGCGCATAAGCCAACAAAAGCGATTGAAATATACAAATACACAGTTGATACAACTCATTGTGTATCGGTACAAGGTAGCAAGGGAAGAAATATATTTTACGTGATTTCTCGAAGCCTTTGTTGTGAGATTTTCTGTATTCTTTCGATCCTGTGCTGCTAGCACTTTCGAAACTACCGTTTTTTTATATATTAAGAAACGGGGCAAATAAGTCGTGCGCCTGATGGTAAGCGACACGCTTGTACATAACAGTTGCAGTGCGACTCAGAGTTTTAAATCGCAAAGATCCGAGAGGCAGCGCCACTGCACCCGTCACCCTGAGACATAAGTTAACAAGTCCCATGTGCCTGTAATTTCGCCAGCACGCTTACCCTTCAAAACCGGAACGAAGTAATGCTCACATTACTGTTGGACGGCAGAAATAGATAACGTGGCAGTACTTCCCTAAAACGAACGTTTTCACAAGGACCTCTACTGCTACTATTTGGTAGTTATGTTGACAGTTTATAATATATTGAGAAGTGTACTATTTCGACCTTGCAATAAAAAAGACCTTAGGTAATGCCGCGATTGGATGACATAGATCTTCCACAAGAGACGGTCTTAGACCTATTTCTTAAGTCATTGCATAAAATGGTGCAAACATGAGCACATTCTTCGTTATGTACCGTCAGATACTAGAATAAATCGCAGCAATTAGTGCACAATTGCCAATAAGCCTATTTGCAGGTATGTTGAAATAGTTAATACAGCCAATAGATGTTAGTAAGCGCATTAAAGCGACGTCTAATGTGCTTGTTGGTTTAATGATTGTAACAAAACCGGTCCATACTCGAAACTCGTCTAATTTTGTAATCGTATTTCGTACTGATACATGTTGTTCCATATTGTTTACTGCCAAAAATAACTGAAAATATTTTTAATTATTATTTTTTAAACGACATGGAGGAGGAGGTTCTCAATTCGATTGCATATTTTCCTTGTCTGATTCCTTTTTGTTGGAAAAGGGAGTACCTCAGTACTGCCCCATTCCAATTGAAGAAAGTAATCCACCTCTAAGAGAGGCAAATTAGGAGACGAATCGGGTATATTAGATTTCACTCGCTTTCTGCTAATCGATTTCAATAAAACTTGGCAAATACATGTAATTACACAAACCGAAGTCTGTTCTAATTATAAAAAAAGTTATAATTATTAATAATGAAAGACAAATCAAAATCCGTCGGAGTATTTTATTTTTTAATATTCTTTATCTGAAAATACCTAATTCATTTTTTAGCTTCATATTATTATGCTGTACAATCCAGGACGTTCAAGGTAATCAAATTGTCGCGTTTCTGAGAACCGCGTCTGGAATGTCGAAGGGTCCGGTCCTGTAATTACGTGGCTACCTACCGACCATTGTGAATAGCTACAACACTCTATTACTATGTAATGATTTATCTACTATCTTCGAACTAATGATATGGAGTCATTAGAATTCTTTGTAGTTGCCGAACTTGCCCAAGTAGAAGTTCTTTCGAATTTTGTTATGTAGAGAACAATAATTTAAATGACGCATTGACATAAGCGCAGAACTCGATATTGTTGCTGCAATACTTTGCATAAATTCTGAAGGTTAACCAACGAATATTTTAAATATATATTGTGTAATCGATCAATTGATGATGACGCTGATAACTTAATGTGTATTATTATATCTCAGTGTTAGAAGTCACGTTTCTGGTCTCCTTGCTCGTGTATTCATTGATTTGAGTTTTTTTATGATACCAAGTATCGGAACGAACAAGTCGATGGTAAGCAATATGCCTGTCCATAACAGTAGCAGTGCCTCTCAGAGGTTCAAATCGCAAAGATCTTAGGGACACTGCCATAGCGCCCGTATCCTAATACATAATCCTAAGACAAGTCATGTGCCTGTAATTTCAACAGCACCTTTACCTTTCAAATCCGACGCGCAGTGATGCTCACATTACCGCTTGACAGTAGAAATAGGTAAAGTAGCAATATACTTCCCTGGATGAACTCTTTCACAGGGAGCCCTCCTGCTACAAAATATAAAATATATTTAAAGCATACCTATTCTAATTTTAGTTTTCAAAACCTACAAACTAACATTATAAAGATATAAAGAGTAAATTTTGTATTGTTGCAGACAGATGCAAAAACGAACTCAGTTGGCAGCCAACAAATTTTGGAAAGCCTCAACAACAAGTACTATTTCTACTCCAGGACGCGGGGACTTTTCCGCATTTGCTACCCTAAGGAACGGCCACCATCAGGTTAGTTACATAAAGTTTTTTTTTAAAAAAGCAAGCTAGATTTCAATAATGTATGTCTTCAAAAATTTGAGACATGTGAGTGATCCTAATGTTGTCAAGACTCAATATTGACATATTGTCAGGGCTGGGCAGTATTTGAATTACTTGTATTTGAAATACGTATTTAAAATACAAATACGTATTTTGTATTTGTATTTCAATTACTCCCTAAAAATGTATTTTGTAATTGGTATTTCAAATACCTGACCGTAATGTATTTTGTAATTTGTATTTCAAATACTTTCGTTGCAAAATACATTTCAACAAAATACTTTTTTCTTTTCAATGTACAGCCTATTTTGTGACGTGCATAGATTTATATCAGTGTTGGGCATTGATAATGATAATATATTTATTGCAGTTTACATAATATAAATAATACAAATTTTACACTATATTACGTATACATGTAATATACTGTAAGGGCATAGCAATATAAAAACTTATAATATGGTTTAATTACATTTCAAGCCTTAGCAATAATTATTATTACAAAATTTCTTATTATATTTCTTATCATATATATAAACATATTATTAATTGTACAATTATGTGTTATACTAGTTTTAATTCGACCATAATAACATTGCATTTACTCCATTATATAACATGTTATCTACTTCATTTTATTTATTTATTCACATTAACTGCCTCCGTGGCCGAACGGTTACCATGCCGGACTGCCACGCAGAAGTCCCAGGTTCGATTCCTGAGCCGGGAGAAATATTTGTATGGCCTGTAATTATTTCTCTCGTGAGTTTGGGTGTAATTTGTGGTTGTCTATGTGTGTGTCCATGGCACCCGCGACACAGGGTTTCCCTAGTGCGGGGCTATGTTGAGTGTGTGCGTTATATTATTATTACATAGGTACAATGAAAGACATATGAATCCTGTAATATGGATATGATAATAATGGACAGCAAAACAGGAATGAGGCAGATCAACGCTATAGCAATTTATCATCAAGATATTGTTGCACTGTATAGTAAGTTTTATTAGAAAGAATGTTTTTTAAGTTATTTATGAAAATACTTGTTTTATTTTCTTGCTTTATATGCTCCGGTAGTTTGTTGTATATTTTTATCGACATTGAATATGGGCTCGATCTATGCATTTCCAATTTTGAGAACGGTGTTACAAGATTATTTCCGTATCTTGTGGGATGGTGTCTTGGTTCGTCTCGCAGTTTAGTGTAAAATTGTGGGTACTTTTTTATAAATTTGCAAACTTCCAAAATGTAAATTGATGTTAGGGTTAAGATTTTGTATTTTCTAAAGAATGGTTCACAGCTCTCTGTTCTTGATATATTTGCTAGTATTCTTACGCAGTTTTTTTGTTTAATAAAGAGGTCATTTACAGTTGTACTATTGCCCCACAATATGATGCCGTATGATAGCCATGCATAAGCGTACGCATAGTAAGCACTTAGGGCAGTTTGTAAATTTGTTGACTTCTTTATTTCTTTTAAGGCGTAAGTAAAACTAGATAGCTTTTTTGTGATTTTTTGTACATGCTGCTTCCAATTTATATTTGTATCGATATCTATTCCGAGTAAATTAAATGTATTGACGGTTTCTATTTGTATTTGGTTATACGAAGAATTAATATTTAGTGATGGTTTTTGATAGGGTCTAAATTCTATAATTTTGGTTTTTGTGAAGTTAATTTCTAAATTGTGATCATTCATCCATGTTACAATTGTAGTTAGTGTATTATGAAGGGTTTGATTTAAGTGGTCACTATTTTTACAAGAGGTTAATATTGAGATGTCGTCAGCGAAAAGAACACATGAATCGTTTATTACTTTTGGGAGGTCATTTATATAAGCCAGGAATAGTATGCACCCAATGACGCTTCCTTGTGGTATCGAATTGTTCATGTTTTGGGGCTCAGATCTGACTTGAGTTATTTCCCCTGTCTCATAGTTATAATACTCGATTTCTACATACTGGATTCTGTTTTCTAAATAGGATGCGAACCATTTATGAATGTCACCTCGTATACCCATTCCGTAAAGTTTATCCAGTAAGATATCATACCGAACTTTATCGTATGCCTTTGACATGTCCAATAGGATACCGATACCATACTTTTTTCATTTAGTGTATCCAGAATCTTTTGCATAAATTTGTAAGTCGCAAGTGTAGTTGAACGATTTTTCCGAAAACCATTCTGCGACTCATCAAATATATTGTACTTTTCACAGAAAGAGTATAGGCGGCTACACATTGCCTTCTCAAATACTTTCGAAGCCGCGGGCAATAATGCAATCGGTCTGTAATTACTCAGATCATACTTACTTCCTTTTTTGAGGATCGGTTTTATCAGGGATTGTTTAAGAAGATCCGGGAACACACCCTCGGCAAAAGACTGATTGACAAGCGTATAAAACGGAAACGTCAATTCGTCTGCACATACCCTTATAAGCGCGGATGGTATCTCGTCTATTCCATAGCTGTATTCATTTTTTAGATTACGTATAATTCTGTATCGTTCCAATTTTAGTATATGTACTGCCGAAACAAGTACGTTAATCAATTAAATTTCAATCAGATTAAAAAATCTATTCAATTGCAACTGATTTCGATTGAATTGATTTTAATTGCAATTAGATTAATTTTATTAGTTGTTCTAAGAAACAATTGAAACTAACAATTAAAACCGAAACTATCAAGTAAAAGTGTCATCACGAATATGGGTTAGGGGATGGGTTTGGGGTGTGTTAGGGGGTCGGTTAGGGGGCCGGTTGAGGGTCGGTTAGGGGTCAGTTGGGGGTCGGTTAGGAGGTTAGTTAAGGGGTCGGTTAGGGAGTCGGTTAGGGGTCGGCTGGGGGTGGTTCGGGGGTCGTTTAGGGGGTAGGCTAGGGGGCCGGTTGGGGGATCGTTTAGGGTGTCGGTTGGGAGGTCAGATGGGGGGTAGGTTAGGGTGCGGTTAGGGGGTCGGTTAGGGGTTGGTTAGCGGGCCGTTTAGGATGCCGGTTGGGGTCAGTTAGTGGGCTGGTCAGGGGATCGGTTAGTGGGTCGGTTAAGGGTTTGGTTGGGAGTGGGTCAGGTGCGGGTTAGGGGCCCTTTAGGGGTGGACCCCCTAACTGACCCCTTAACCGACCCCCTACCTATCCCCAACCGACCACTTAACCGGTCCCCAACCGACCCCCCAACCGGACCCTAACAGACCACCTACCGACACCTAACCGACCCCCAAACCGACACCTTAACCGACCCCCTACCGACACCTAACCGACCTCCAACCGGACCCCCTAATCGAGCCCCTATCTGAGCCCCCAACCTTCGTGGTGGTATTATATGTGAAGAACTACATACAAAAAATATATGTAATTAGATTGAAGTCGTTGTAAATGACGAAGTAAATGCAAGTGATCAATCACTTTTTTGCAAAGAGCATCTATTATATGTATGTATGTGTATATGTGTGTGTGTGAGTGCATGTGTGTGCGTGCGTGCGTGCGTGCGTGCTTGCCTGCGTGCGTGCGTGCCTGCGTGCGTGCGTGCGTGCGTCCGTTTGTGTAAAGCGGAACGTTCAAAAAATGAAGTATGAAATTATTTGATTTTTAATTCGGGACTTATTCACGTATAAACATATTTTATTTACCTCGACTTTTCGGACATATTGCAACGTCCATGGTCTCGCAAGGACTGAAGAGGCGGGTGTCAGCATCTTCTAGTTGTGCGAGTTTTTCTAACTACCCGCACTTTATCTTCATTACTTATTTGTGCACTAGGGTTCTCACTACACCGACACACAACACTCACGACATCTTAAATACTCGTATTCAATGCAGTACAAGCACATTTGCAGGTGGCAACAGTGCTGGTATTGTCAAAGACGTCAAAGTCATCTTTTCGCGGTTATAACTTAGAGTAGCAGGGTTCTAGGGTTATAGCCGCCATTTTGCGGTTGGTTTAAATTGCACATTTGCATCCTTTATATGCCGAGTAGATAGGGATAACGTATCGCGTGAGCGACTAATTTGTGTTGTGAACATGTTATGAATGGCATTTACACGTATATACAGTATTCGACATGTATAGGAATATTAATAATAATTATACGTACTTCGTGCTCTGAATGAAGTATGGTTGTATTGGTTTAACAGTTTTTTTCTGGTAAAACTGAATATTTAAAACTTCTTTTTCAAGATATATATTGTGGAAGGAAATCCTTTGAAGGAAATTGTTGGTTTCCACATGTCGCGATAAGTATACTAATAAAGTATTTTGTAATTTGTATTTGTATTTTGTATTTTAAATACACCCCATGAAAGTATTTTGTATTTTGTATTTCAAATACACCTCAAGAAAGTATTTGGTATTTTGTATTTTAAATACATTTAAGGAAGTATTTTGTAATTTGTATTTCAATTAAGATGTAGCATGTATTTTGCCCAGCCCTGCATATTGTGTTGAAATATGGGGTGGAGCGCCGACATCAACTTTACTGCCTCTTGAAAGAGCTCAAAGGTTGATACTGAAAGTTAGTCACTTTCTCCCACGCTTGTATCCAACAATTACGCTTTACAAGGACTGTAAAGTTTTAACAGTCCGGCAATTATTTATATTGTATGTCATTTTATTTAAGCATTCTGAACTATTTTTTGATCCTCCTTTTAATAACAAAAGAAGAAAACATACCGTCTGTCCAGCAGTGACCTTTCGAACAAAATTCGCTGGGAATTTTTTTGCTTTCTGGGAAGCTACTTATATAATAAACTAAATAATGTACTGCCCTTTTACCCTCTGACTGGACACACACACACACACACACACACACACACACACACACACAGACACAGACGCAGACGCACACGCACACGCACACGCACACGCAAACGCACACGCGCGCGCACACACACACACACACACACACACACACACACACACACACACAAACACAGGTTATCGTTCATAAATCTCCATCCGACCTTTAATTCAATGCTAATTGGA